TTACGGCTGTTGTTGGCAAATTTTTTAATGGATTCATTTGGTCATTCCTGATCATTTGGCCAGATTTGACATGACTGTTGGATTAATGTGATTTACTAGAATTAGTATAAAATCGCTCTCACACGGCTCACAACTCCCACCCAACGTCTGGATCACTACGAAACCAAACATCGACCTTCTGCCATCTCAAAATAACCTGCAAGAAAAGAAAACGCTCGAAAAAATGAGAGAAACCAACGATGCTTCAGCCAAGTGGACCTATACGAAACCATCGTCGAAACCACCAAACTACGCCACGAAAACCATCCCAGAGATCTGTACACACACCAAGGACAGATTTTGATGCCTTAGAGTCGACCTATACTATTGAAGGAGGAAGACAAAACCTCGGGTTTTCAGATCTCCACAGATCTGGAAGTTTTCGACCTATACGAATAATACCAATGCCATAAAAGGGAAGAGGGGAGAGACATGGCGTAGAAACGAAACAAAACGAAGGATAAGGGACGTGGGTGCGGTTTTACCGAGGAGAGAGAGATCGCAAGAATTTCTCTTGTAAACGGGCCAGAAGACGAAACTCGATCCGAGCTTCAGACCCGCAACCCGAACAGAAATCCAACCCAATCATAGCCCAAACCCTCTCGGCCCACCTGATCCGCAAAGCCACCGAAACCAACTCAATACCACAGCCCAGTCGCCTCGGCCCAGCCCAATCAACAAATGACAACCTAAGTACCACAGCCGTGACCCGGACCACGACCTGCGAACCGAAACCAAACCCACAGCCGGTGAACCGTAACCAATCCGCAAATAGAAGGCCTAAAAGCGTCTCGGCCGAAATCCATAGTCCAACCCAGCCCACTTGCAATCGTTTCCTCTTGGCCCAAACCCGGTCCACTACACGCAGTGAGCCCAGACCTGCGACTGCAACCCGTACCCGAGCCTCGACTCAAGACCGCCTGCACATGCGTCATCTCTTGATTGTGCCATGTTAAGGATATTTAGTACTAAATTATAGTTTACCATATATATCATATTTAATATTGTATTATAAGGCCAATATCTAGATATTTATCTTTTTACATAGGTATTTTTCCATTTTGTTCTTCCCATTTATTACTATTCTCATATCATTATAATTTATTTGATTATAAATAAAGAACTTTCACACACCATTTAGGTTTGGTGGATTAAGCAAACATTTTCATGGTATCAGAGTCCTTTCGGTTTAGCAACCCCAATTCTTTATTTTCAATGGCTTATGAATCCTCTACTATTCTTTTCCCCACCACTGGTGGCTTTGACGCCGCAGGGGTAGTCGTCATGGCTGCCGCAGGTGGAGCCGATGCCGATAGATTACTTTTCGGCTCCATCTTTTGACCTCCAAATCACCCTTCGACATACTCTGTACATACAACCTCACCTTTTCCAATACAAACGATTTTCCCTCAACCAACATAGTCTCTTTCATTTTCTTCCCAATCTTCCCATCATTATTCACAGAAACCCTAACCTAAACCTATCGACCATCTACAGAGATTTACCTTTGAAATCTGGGTGCCGCACTGGCCTCTTCGCCAATTGCCACCTCCATTCTTACCAAAATTGGCTTCTTCGCCCACTGTGGCGACTCTTCCAGCTTCAACATTATCTTTGTCCCTTGCTTTAGGTTTCCCCATTCTACTTCTTGGGTTAAAAATATTATCATCGGAGCCAAGGCAGCATCGTCATTCAGCGATGATCCCTCTTCATGGGTAGACATATTCTCGTTGGAGCCAAGGCAGCATTGTCACTGAGTGACGATCCCACTTCATGGGTTAGACATATTCTTGTCGAACCCAAGGCAGCATCGCTGCTAAGCGACGATTCCTCTATAGTTTTTGATGGGCAAGTAAGTGTTCCTCTACGCTTCTTACGAACCAGGTTGTTGACATCTTCACGAAAAGCGTTTCTCGACCTCTCTTTGAATTTTTCAAATCCAAGCTTCACGTTTGTTCAAATCCGACGCTTAGCTTGGGGGGGTGTTAAAGATATTTAGTACTAAATTATAGTTTACCATATATATTATATTTGATATTTTATTACAAAGACAATATCTAGATATTTGTCTTTCTTACCATAGGTATCTTTCCATTTTTTGTTCTTTCCATTTATTACTATTTTCATTTCCTTGTAATTTATTTGATTATAAATAGAGAACTTTTATACACCATTTAGGTGTGGTGGATTAAGCAAACATTCTCATGCCACGTGGCACATCTGCAACGGAACACCACTGACTCCGGCAGCTTGATTAGCTCGCAGCGGCTCCTCAGCTTCAGTAGCTTATTCGGCTCGGGAAACCCCTTTCCGACCGTTCAACACCGTTTCGACCCACCCGAACTCGATTTTGACCTCATTTAAGGTAAAATAGGTCATTTTAAGGCCTTATTTCACAATTTCAAGTTGAAAATTAATTATGTTTGTTAAATACTAACAAAAGTGTCAAACGATCCAATAGGAACTAATCAACAACTGAAGCGTAGGACGTATATGAGGAGATAGGAGCTAAGGAGTATGCTGTTTACATACAATTTAAGGAACGTAAATTTAATACGTAAAAGCATGCAAGGTGAATGCATGCTGTTTCTAAAATGACTGGATGCGCAATATGATGCAATGTGATGTGTTGTGCTTAGAATGTTTGTGTGATCTTTTAGATGTGTTCTATACGAATCACATGTCACAATATGTTATAATATAAGCATGAAATGTAATGTTACATTCCTTAAATTGTATGTAAACAGCATGATATGTATGACATGAAATTTCAATCTATAGTATGAAATATAACCCCATTATAATTATGTATGATATGAGGACTGAAAAATGAGAAGTAATATGATATGAATGGAACTGATAGAAAGGTTATATTTATTAATGATAAAAGTAGAAATATTGGGGATTTCATGCATTATGTGTGCTCATACATTGGGGGGAGACCCCTATTCCATCACGGGGGTATGGACGCGTACACCCAAGGGCAGAAGAACGATCGTTATGTTTTACATAATGCTATTGTGACGGTTACTAGTTCTAACGAGGTCAGAGCTCCCAGAGTATGCTCGTCCAACAAGGAAAATGGCCCAACGGTGTGCGAACTGACTGGTGAGTCCATACTCGCACATATGGGCTGTGTGTAGAGTATATGGTACACATCCAAGTTACCCGTTAGGATAGCACCGTAGGAAGATAAATTGAAGGATAGGTCCCGTCATCTCATTTGCATGTGTTTGTTGCATAACCCTGATAGGGGGTCAGTTACTGAGTATTATAGAAATACTCAAGCATGTGCTACTACATTTTTAGATAAAGGCAAGACACCCATGTGAGACAGAAGGAAGCATCACAAATCCCGGACCATTGTACATGCAAATGATAGATTGTTCCATTCATAGTATAGGTTAATATAGGTTGAATTTCATTTTTATTCATATTATGGGTTAGTATAGGTTGAATTTCATTTACATTATTAGTATAGGTTAGTACAAGTTGGATTGTAATTGAATTCATAAACTATAAGTTAGTATATGGTATTTAATTCAACATTTTTTTTCCTTTCTTTCTTGTGTATTTGTTTATCCACGAGGTAATAAAGGAGATATGAATTAATAATCGAAACTATAAAGTGTCCATTATAGCAATTCCACATTAAATGAAAGGTTAGAAGTACAGTAATGACCTTAGATTAAATAGGAAAAATTTAGGGTCGTTACACTATTCTAGTTTGAACGCAAGGATATTCTCCTTATATTAGAAATTTATGTTAGATAGGCACAAATTAAGTTAAAAAGTCATGGACCAAGGGTCAAAAATTTGAACTTTTCACTCATTTTTTTTAACAAAAAAAATTACAAATAATAACCGAGACTATAAGAAGTTGCGATAAACCATTAAGCATGTGTCTAGAATATGTAACGACTCTAGATTCCTATTTAACCTAAAGTCGCTACTACATACATATCATTAACAGTTTATGGGAAAATATTTCATTCAAAACTTTAACCTAAAACGTTGTCGTGGACTTACATGTTTTCTAGAAGGTCTTTAAACTAAAATACCAAAAATTGAAATAACATAAAGTAAAACTTCCCAGTACTAACCTATATGCTACAAAATTAAATGCATACTAACCTATACGAATGTATTGTCTACGAAATTAAAATTTTGCAAACTCCCCTATGCATGTGTCATGGTCTCTTGGATTGTGATGCCACCGTCAGCCGTACAGGGGAGCCATTCCTTTACGTGAAAAAGTAAGAGTAGCACATGACCTGAATATTTTGATAAATACTCAGTAAGTGGCCCCACTATTGGGGTTATATGCAAGCACATATAATTATAAACTTCCCATGTCTTCTAACGTATCATATAACATCGTATAGAATCATCTCATCACAGAATAACATCATCTTACATCGTACATCATCATCAGACAATATAGTCACAACATCATAAATATAGATAATAAATGACATGTGCAAGGGCCACTAGGCACGTGTCGTCATACATTAAACAAGTCGTTCAACCTATCCTATAGTAAGACCACTTACTTGGTTGGCCTTAGTTGGTGTTCTACCTAAATTCGAGTACGATTGTTTTTCATCCCTCAAAATTTCTCCTAGTATTATTAGTTGTCGTTTCCTATTAGAATGTCCATCTTGTTTCCTTAGAAACTACAATTTCTTAACTCAGTTTAACATAAATTAAGAAAGTGAACTTTATACTAAATTTAATTTCCATAAACAAGGTCAATTTCAGCTTTAGGATAGTCGGAACGGTAAAAATTGGGCAAAATACCCTTTAGCGAGTTGAAGAGGTGGATTGTAATACCCGAATTTTTAGATAAATAAATAAAAAAATAAAAATAACAACATAGGGGCAAAAGGGTCATTTTGTCCCTACTCTTACCTAATGGGTTTAGTTGTTTGGGCTCACACCAGACAGAAAGAAAAGAAAAAAAAAATAGAGAGAGAAAGGAGAAAGTAGAAGAAGTTTGGATTTGGGAGAGAGGAAGAGCAGAGATGACAAACCGCCGTTGGAGATCGAATCCAAGGCAAGAAACTTCGAAGCAATACTTCTCTCGGTGCTGGAAAAGAAGTTTGGGTGGTGGATCCACTCATTCTGGCAAGAAAATCCGAGAACGGACAAAGTAAGGTTCCGAACTTCTTATTTCGATTTTATCTAGATTTGAGGAGTTTTTTTAGCGTTAGATCTGGAGTTTTTGAGGTATGTAACTAAAATAAGATTCACACAGGTTTCTTGGGGTTTCTGGATGAAAATCGGAGTTTCAAGAAAATGCTATTTTTGGTAATAACTCGTGTTTTTCTCCAAATTTGAACTCAAATAATAAGAACTGTGATTACAAAAAAAAATACAAGAAAAATATATTGTAGAAATAGAATATGAGATCTACAATATTCGTGAAGAGAACTTGTTGATTCGGATTATAGATTGGAAGATATAAAAATCGGAAGAAAATAGATTGAAAACGTCAAAACTCACGTTTCTAGAAAATTTGGAAAAACACAGGAGGAGAGAGGAGGCATCGCCGCCACGCATCGGCCGGCGTATGGAGGAGCTCGACAGGACCAACGAGCGATGCATGGCGACCGCGGGCTGGAGAAGCGCATCAGGCGCGCGCAACCGGGTTGGCCTGAGTTTGAACCATGTGAACTGAACCGAACCGGCCGCTGGCCCGCGATTGCGCGGGAAGTTGCACGTGGACACGCGCGCATAGTACACCCTCCAAAGCGCGTCAGTCGTGCGTGTAAGCGCGTGAGTGACCTTTCAACCTCCGTTTGCTTGTTTTTCGTCCCAATTTCAACTCTGATCCAATTTTTATGTGAATTAGGACCTATCAAGAAAATTCCAGAATTTTTGGAACCTTTTCCGGCAAATAGTTCGAGCATGGGAAGACACACGTCAACCAAGTAAGTAGCCATTTAGATTTTCACGAGCAATACTTGTAAGAACCGCTTGGAATAAGCATGCATGCTATCATACCCATAAACTTAGTTAGCCGTACCTAGCAAATTAGTATGTAAACCATGAAAATGAAATAAATAACGAAGTCTATGACTTCTAGATATGAATGATTATGTAATTTGTTTAGATTGAGATTATGATAATGTATGTATGCACGAGGAGGATGGGAAACTTGTGAAAGCTGCACTCCGAGTGAAGATGGATGTTATTTTCCCACTGAGCATGTTTGTTAATATTGCATGAACTGCTACGTGTTAACTCCTATGCATGATGTTTGCTTGCGTTATCTTTCTTGATGAATAGGAAGAAATTGTGAGCTTAGATTAGAGTGCTTGTGACTAAGTAGGCTAGACGAGACCCTAGGTTGGGGGATCTCTAGAATACCATGCATTTAGACCTGCGAAATGATTATCGGTGGATCTAGAGCTCAGAATTCCAAACATGATAGGTTTGTGATACCTTGCACGAGAATCCTAGAGATGCATGAATCCAAGTCTAAGCCACCAAGTTCCACCCCTAGATAGAATAGTAGGTCACCACAGTAACTGTAAGTAGCCCGCTAGAGTTGAGCAGTGTGGATAGTGTCATCAGAACCTCCACTTTCCTCTCTGCTCCGATACCGTACCGTCGAGACAGAGCTCCGGTACAGAGATCATTGAGCTTGGCAGATCCGGATAGGGAAGTGTGACAGGTGCCCAGACCTAGTGGTGATAGCTAAGGAGTCTTCTAAACAGGACTCCTAGGCCATAAAAACCGTCCCTGAGCGGGAGATGTGGAGCCACGTAGGATGACTTAGTAGCTGACCGGCACACAGAGGGCACCCCGAATTTAGTGGATGTATGGTCCCGTGTGAGGGTTGTCAGCTAACCTCCACGGATGATGTTCAGAGAGAGTCACGTATTCAGATTCAGCCATACGATCCCCTCAGATTTACTTATGAGGTCGTGCCTCACCTCAAGACATTGATCCTTCCACTGCATAAGATGGGCAAGCCTTCTAAGATACAAGAAAGAGAGTTTTAGTATGATTCGCACTCACTAGAACCCAGAGATTAGACCGTGTATACCTACTCAAATAAGGATGCGAAAAGAGACTACAAGTAGGTTGCTTACTGAGTATATTTATATACTCACTTCTTTCTCCTCTTTTTTTTTCAAGTACCAGTCAATACGGGGAGGTGTTTGAGAGCTGCACTGTCACAGAGGGGTGTCGTTACGGAGCGTCAGTCCCTTGTCGGTCTTTCAGAGTCCTTCGTCCGTTTTCATATTTGGAGTCTTCTGTATTTTATTTTATATTTGTAATTCCCATTTGTTGCATTTGACTTTCATTTTATATTTAATTTTGGTGTCCTTGCTTTCGTTTTCTTGTTTTAGATTTTGACGAATTTTTACCTTCTATTTTATGTTCTTTTTATTTTTATTTGTTTTCAATTTCGTCTTTTTAGTCACGATTCGGTCTTTCGAAGCCATAGGAATTAGCCGTCTGAGCTTCGTAGGGCGAAAAAGTTTATGGCTGCAGGCGCGACATGTGGTGCAATGAGGCGTGAATGCATGTTTTCGGGCGATTGAGTTTTTTTTTATTTTTTTATTTTTTTATTTTTAAGCCTTTACCGAATCTATTTGTGTTTCATTTGCCACAATGGTGTATAACTTTCAAGTTTATTTCATTTTTGTGCTTGAAAATTTTCTATAAAATCTAGACTTTGATATTAAGGTTGACGTCAATATTTTATTCTGCAATAACAACTCTAATATTTTATTCAGATATACTCCTTTTTATATTAAATGTTTCCATATATTTTAGAACTTAAATGATTAACAAACATTTTGTTAAAGTATTACGCAAGCACGCAACTTATGTAGAAAAGAAAAGATTTGATGTGAAGTAAGGCAAAGGTGATGGATATGTTTAAGGACTCCATGGATGAATGAGCTCGAATACCTTTGTTCTGCTATTATATAAAGAAAAACTCTTCTCTTCTTCACGCCAAATGCAGTGCGAATAGTTGCATTAGTCTTCAAGCCAAATTCCCTTCTCTGGCCAAAAAACCTTGAATGAAAGCTTCCCATAATTGCTGTTAAAGTTGCACCAAAACAATGTTGTCTGCAAAATATTTTTTTTCATTTTTCCGCTGTATTCCTATTTGAACTGAAGAATATTCTCCGCTAAATCCTAAAGTTATGTCAGATGGGCCCAAATTCTATTGAAAAAATGAAAAAAAATTAGAACGGTAAAGAGCATATACAATTACATCATCAAATGTTCAACTAAATAAAAATTCTTAAATAACAATTTAGACGTAATTCCACTTAGGCGATGTATGCATAGATGAAGAGGTCAAAAACTGTTCAAACTGTGAAGGCCACATATTTGTTAACAAACAAACAAAAATAAATAAAAATAAAAATAAAAAAATAAATTAACCCAACCTAAAAGTAATTGTAATTAAATCCTTAAAAGATAAAATAAAATATTGTGATTTTCATTTTTAATAATCAAATTCATATTTTTTACTCAAACTTAGTTTTTTTTTTTTTTTTTTTTTTTTTTTTNTTTTTTTAATTATATTGGATATTATACTTTTTAAATTTGTAGTTTTGAAATTCCACCCTGGTCAAATAAAAATAAAAATAAAAAATAAAAAAACTATCAAATCCATAAATTTATATATACATAAAATTATATGGTCTCGTTGAATATTTGTCATTTTGCAACACCCTTATTTACATAAATTGTCGTTTTTCGATATGCAATGGGCCAGTAAAGATACATCTTGATAATTAAGAATCATTACTTTCCTTTGAGAATGTGGATATTTACTTGCAAAAGAAGTGAAAAGGTTGGAAGCATGTCCCAAGATTGCTAGTAAAATTGTACCAAAACATTGTAGTCTACAAAAAAAAAAAAAAAAAAAAAAAAAANTCCAGTCGCCGAAAAAGGCTTGAGAATTTCGGTGAGGCGCCGGAATCCTCACACACTCTACCCACATGCCCTTCCCAACACCAAGGATACACCAAAAGAAGCCATTGCCCCATTCTGCCCCTCACAACACATGCCTAGAATAAAGGAAATGTGAGTAATAGAAAGAAGATGAACGATCATTGTGGTTTTTCGATAAACGCAAACTAGTGAAGGCAAACCGAACCTCCACCTCTTGTTTTAAAATTGCCCTCAATCTCCCCTTGATATATAGAATATATCTCCATCAGTTGGAGAAGGAAGCATAGAGAAAAAGACCGACATCGTATTCATGGGGCGGGGGGAAATTGCCCGCTGTAAGGACCAGGCTGACTCGATGACTTTAAAAAGACAGGTAAATTTTTGTGAAATAAAACAAACGAAATTTAAAACGTAATATACATCATATTTATATTATATCAAAATAAAGTTTATATAAAGTACTTAAAACACAACACAGCTGTTAAAGTACAAAATAAGGAACGACACAAGACATTTTAAAACAAAAGAGTTGAGGATAAGTGAGGTTTGTCTATGGCATCTGCCCCAGTGTACCTCTCGACCTCGACTAGCTCCTTATTATATGAAAAAAAATTTGAGAATTAGGAATGGGTACAAAGAATCAGTAAGCAGCCTACTTGTAAGATCTTAATCGTGTCCTTGATAAGCTAGGGTACCACACTCTTTCTTTTTTTGTTTTTGTTCTTGTTCGTGTCCTAAGTTCTTGTACTGTTTCTTAATTCATTCTCCAAGACACTCCCCTTATGATTTACGGTACTAATCATAAACTTGTTGACCTATGTCCGAGGCTTCATGCGTTCCAAGTGACACAATCTTAATACCTATGATTAAGGCTTCATGTGATCCAAGCAGCGTAGTCTAAGTCATGAGAATGATATACCATGGGAGGTCTTAGGAGATTCTTGATTCTTGGCTAAGGTAACTTACTCTCTTCTTGCTCCATCGTGGCCTTAGACTACTCCCCATGATAGACCATAAAGGTCAGGTGATTGATGCATGCATGAACATGGCATATCCTCATGTCATATAAAATAGGCCTTATAGAAAATAGTTGGTAATTTGGAGCATGTCTAGACCTTAAGCTAGGATATGACTACTTTTTTCGTTTTTAGGAAGTAAGCCTCAGAGGTTATCATGTCAAGCATCGTGTTTTAGCCTTGAAACTCTTCCAAAGTAACCCTTAATTTTCTCTCCATGAGTACATAGGTGGAGTTGTCATAATTGTGGCATCCTGCTAGCAAATCGTGACGCAGGGCATCTCATTTAGGTGAGCAAAATAATAAGTCCATCATGGCAACATGCTCATGGTACATATAGCAGGGCATCCTACCTAAAGAGAATTAGGGACCTCGTGGTACACTTCGTGACAGGAGATAAGGATTACTTCGGGCATGGATCCTAGCAACTTGTTAAACATAATATTTGCATTAATCTAGGTGTTCTCTTGGATTCTTGATGATCCTAGGTTTATGCATAACGTCTTGGGTCAAGCTTGGAACTTATAAATTCTTCTTACGAATAGCCCGACACTATCTTGTTCACATAGAATCTTATTAGCAACCAAGGGTACTTGTGGAGAATCTCTTATTTCATGGATACCAAGTTAGTCATCCTAGGAGGTAAAAATCATATGGATCGTGATGTACGTTTTTCCATATATCTTGGTTTCGTTACCTAACATTTTCCAATGATTCCCAAACTTCATTACCTCATACAACCTCCTGAGATAAGGATTCATACAACACTTCATAATATTTAGAGGTCATTTAGGGCTACACCCGTTGGTAGTATTCCTCAGGGGCATTATGGTCGTTTTACCCCTAATTCTTGGTTTTGTTACTTAACAACTTCGAATGGCTTTCAAACTTCAATAAATCATCGTATATCATAAAATAAGATCTACTGTAGAGTTTCATAGCATTTGGAGGTCATCTAGGTCAAGAACTGAAGGTAAATTACTTTAGGGGCATTATGGTCATTTTACACCGTTTCTTGGTTTACCTACTTATCCTTATCCAATGCACCACATTTCCTATATAACCTCAACATTAAAATTTCAGAAGCAGCCAGGAGTATGTATAGAAATCCATGCAATTCCTACAAGTATTTCTTAACAAAAAGTCTAAGGTGGCTAATTATCTCGTCATCGACATTCAAGACCTCCATAATTGAGCTTCTCGTATACGAATTACTTCAAATGTCCTTCCACAAACTCCTTATTGTGTCTAATTTCTGAAACCAAAATTTTTTTCGTGAGAATCAATTTGAATGGAGTCAAAATTAAGAAAACCCGAGGGAATGTAGGATTTTTTGTTGACTTGGCCGGTTTAGTTGAACCGACCACATCATCGTCTTCTTCCTCTGGACGGGAAGAGGACACTCACGTCCATTCGCGCTGCAGTCTGAAACTCGAGTGGCACTACTCCAATCACGCCATTTCTTCCCTCAATTTCTTCACGAAACTTAAAGATGGTATTACAAGGAAGAGCTGGGGATTAATTTCATGCCTTCTCGTGGATCGTAGCCTAAGATATTCGCCTCAAAAGTTCGTCCAAAATCTTATTTCTCGCTGGAGCAAAACAAAGGATTTCTTATTGGGTAGCCGATCTAGGGTTTTTCAAGACCTGACTTCTTCTTCATGGAACCTCTTCCATATCCTTTCCTCAAGCTAAAGGAATTGGTTTGGAGGAACATCTTTGAGTGTGGGACCTTAATTTCTAGAAATCCTTCTCGGTATGCAACTTACACGAAACGCCAAATTTTCGATCTCTTGGGTAGCTTGTTCTACGACGTTTCAGCTCTTGATTCCTTTATCAAAGTTACTCAATTTCTTCCTCTAAAGCTAAAGGAATCCTTAATTTGAAGGAAAAGGGTTCGTAGATAGGAATCCGAAACTTCCCCCCAAATTTTACCTGAAACGAATTTCCTTCAATTGGGCACACTCCCGAAGTTATTTCTTTTCGTGGCCTTCTATTAAAACATTCCTTGGAGGTGCAAACACTGATTAGGATCGTTCTTTCTCGATGAATCATCATGTATCCTCAGATTGGTTTTTCCAAGTTTTCTTTGAAACTCTTCAATGGCGGATTGGATTGGGGAAATGATTTCTGGCACTTTCAGCACTCTATTGCTTCATAGAACTTGAGGGTAATTCATTTTAGAAACTGTAGGAACAAGTTTGAAGAAAAATGGTTGAGGATTTTCTCGTATTTGGAAGAAATCCGAGAGTAGGAGACCAAAAATCTAAATGCTTATTGTCTTTGATTGGGTGCTCGACCTTGCTCGATTCTTGTTCTAAACTATTGCCCCAAGTTTAGACTTTATAAGGAAACCTTCCACCGACGTTGAAACCTCCAAAACCATCG